GGCATTGCAGAAGCCCATTTACACTGGGATGGACCATTTGCTTTGGGGTTTTATATTTCAGACAAGTACAAGAGTTCTGTTCTGGGTTAACTGCCAGCCTTGCTTTTCTGTAGGGGAGTGTGGTTTTATCTTGAGATAAAATTGTTCTTCTAGCTCTGTTAATGCCCAGGGTGATACTAACAAACAAAAGCAAATCGTCATCTGTGTCCTCTTTTCTCTGTGCCACGCAGGCCCAAGCACGCCTCTGTATTAACTAAATGAAATCTCATCCCAAACCCTGTAAGCTGGGCTTTCTGGGTTACCTGTATAAGAAATAGTCAATTTCCTAACAGAGTACTAGTGAGCACCTTATCTTCAACGGCAAGCTTCTGCTCAGATATAGTAGATCCTGTTCTAACCTGGGCACGTCTATCACTGAACAGGAACTTTAAGGCAGGGCAAAGCTCTTACATTTACTGTTGTGTCAGAGATTCTCCCTCCAGTGACACATTGGTGCAGAGCATAGTTGCAGACAGTTAAACGTGCTTGCTGTAACCATGCTTCCTTTTCTCAATCTCTCATGATGCCTCATGGAACTCTGGCTTGGAGCATCTTAGCAATTCCTAACTGAAAGAATCTTTTAATCTTTTATTTATATTTTTATTTTAAGTGTATGACTGTATTGCCTGCATGTATGTAAGTGTACTTGTGTCATGTAATGCCCCCAGAGGTCAGAAAAGGGTATCGGATTCCCTGGAACTGGAGTTATGGATGGTTGTTAGCTGCTGTGTAGGTGCTGGGAACCAAACCCTCCTCTGCAATAGCAGCCCGTGCTCTTAACTGTGGAATCATCTCTCCAGCAGCCCCTGAAAGAATATAATCAGCCCAACCATTTCAAAACTACAACAAAAATGTGAGGAGAGCAGGCGTGATGCATGTAAAGTCACACAGCAGTCATACCCCAAGCCCTGGACTCCTAACTTTTAACCTAAAGCTTTTTATTTTTAAAGTCTTTGTCCTTGGCTGCCTTATTAAATTTGATGAAAAAATAAACTACCAAATGCTGTCCAGTGGAATAGAAAAATAAATTGGGCAGTTATAACTACTAAGTTTCTATTCATGTTTACTTGGAAAAACAGCCCCAAATCTGCTCATCTAGGGCAGTTGGAGTGGAGAAAGAGCAAGGACAGAGCACTCGTGGCACTGTTGTTATATTATGGGGGGGGGGGGGCGCCTGAAGAAAATGTGGTGGATACACAAGACACTCGAGTGTGACAAGGCCCTAGGAGCTTTTGAGTTTTAAGTCGAATAAGCCAGACGTAGGTGGCAGTCTCCACACCAGGGCTTGTATTTGGCCAGGGCATGTAAATGTGTAGGGCTATCAGTTTGCAAATGTTCTAGTTGAAGCTGTACCAAATAGGATTCAATGATTGTGATTCAGCTGACACTGAATACTTGTCATAAATTTGGCACTGGTGGTAGACAGGGCACAGTATCTGCCTTATTAAGAAGGTTCAGAATTAGCCACAGGAAGAAAATAGCTGCAGGTGCTTTTGTGTGGGGTGAGTGTGCATACCCAAGCTCTCCTACTCCACCTTATTTGAGGGTCTCATTGAACAAGGAGCCAGGTTGGCAGCCAGTAAGCCCTAGAGATCTCCTGTCCCTTCCTCTAGCTATCGGATTACAGGTGCACACACCGAACCCAGCCTTTGATGTGGGTTCTGGGGATTTAAACTCAGGTTCTCATGCTTGTACAGCAAGCGCTTTTACCTGCTGAGCCATCTCCTTTGCCCAGTGCAAATCCTTGGGACGAGATGCAGATGTGCTGCAGATCTACTAAGAGGAGTGCCACGTGCTGTGACTGGAGGGTGCAGGGAGGCCTCCTGTGGCAGGGAGCACTTTCAAGAGGTCCCAGCAATGGAGGTGAAATGGCAGAGAGATGACAAACTGGGGAGGGGGCACGTTCTACTTCGATTCACGTTTTAGTAGCAGCGAGTGGCTTATAGAGGCTTCTCTTTTCCCATCGCCTCTCTCGTGCCTTCCTGCAGCAGACTGGAGTAAAAGCTCAGGCAGAAACTTATTTTCATAGGACAGAGGAAGCTGTCTTACCACTGAAGAGAAACAGGTTGAAGGCTGTTTTATAGCCTGTGTGTTTGGTGGTTGGCTTTGGGGTTCTAAGAGTGAATGCTCTGCAAGGCAGCCTCCCCCCTCCGTGCTCTTCAGTCTGCAGAGGCAGGTATCTGGTTTTTGCTTGTAAAAGTTTTGGCCTAGGCAGAGGTGCATTGCTGTGAGTGTGAGGACTGAAGAGGGTTGTTAGATGAAGCAAGGTGGAAACGCCCTTGGGCCTTTGTCTTTGGAGTAGCCCCTCAGGCTTGTTCCTTTCACCACTGGAGTTGAAATTGCTGTTTGTCTGAAAAAGTCTGGATCTCTACCTCCCACACCCCTTAGTCCCGATTCTCCCTCTTTTTTCTTGTGCGCGTCAGCAGTACTCCGTTTTCCCATTTTTCATCGTCTAGCATCTGGCACACATAGTTTTATAGACTTGAGAACTGTGAGAATAAGGCCCTGTCTATTTTGTTCAGTTACTTTTCCCAGTGCCGGGTGCATAGTAGGTACTCAGTCAGTTTTAACAGACTCGTTGAAGAGACCACAGGGGCATTTCTGACCGTAGTATGCATTGTTAAAGGTTTCACTTTCTAGGTGCGGCATCCTTCATTGCTTGGGCTGGTTCAGGTTTAAAGGGAGACATTGGCAGACTGGAGAGATGGCTCAGTAGTTAAGATCACTGACTGCTTTTGCAGAGAACCCAGATTCGGTTCCCAGCACCCACATGGTGGCTAACAGCCACCTGCAACTCCCAATTCCAATGGATCCTATGTCCTGTTGTACACTCTGCAGGCATTGTATGACATGGTTGCACTTAAATGCACGCAGGCAAAACATTCATACACATAAAATAAATACAATGTAAAAGGAGGCAGTGAACTCTATCCTTCTGGTCCATCCAGGGTTTGAGGTGCCTTTTCCCTTGGGCAGAGTTTCCTTTTTAAATGTCAGCTGATGCCATATCAAGGCCAACTTCCTCACAGTACTGACTGGCTGTCTTGGGTCCAGGCCTGGCATCCATGTGCCATGATCTTTCTAGGTTATGCCAAGCCTGATTCCTTCCCTGGGCTGCCATCTGATTTCTGAGAAACAGCACTTAGAACCTAGGGACTGGTTGCATGGCTCAGTAAGTCTTTGTCACTTGGAGTCTGTTTTTCTATCCAGTGAATTAGAACCCTGTGTTCCTATATACTCATCAGGTTGTGCTAGTTGCTAGGTGCTTCATAAGTTTTTAAAAACAAACTGAGTAACAGGTATTGTGGTAGTTCATAAAAAATAAGGGAGGAAGCACACTTCGGAGCAAGAATCTCATCAGTCTCTCCTTCCCTTCAGAGGCTCACAGAGGCACCAAGAGGCCAAGTTTGAACATATTTTATTTATTAAAACTGTTTTTTACATTCATGTATTTATCATGCGAGGGTGTTTGTGTGGGTATGTGTCACATGCCTGTGTAGAAGTCAGAGGATTTATGGAAGTTCTCTCCTGCCATGTGAGTGAATTTAGACCCACTGAAGGGGTACTTCAGTTGCCTCACCCTGTGTCCCTGTTCAGCATGGAAGAAGCCAGAGTGGTCTGTGTCCCAATTCCCTGTTGGCAATTTGGGTAACCCCTTCAGAGGATGGCATGATAAGAATAGGAGGTAGGAATTGGCTAGGCAGTTAGGGTAAAAAGACCCCAAAGAAATGTAGCCAGTTTCTGGACTAAAAATCAAAATGTCCTTGGGCCTTTTAACAACATACTCTGTTCCAAAGGCCAAAAATGTCAAAAGTATTTGGGAGCTTTTATCTAATCCTTAAAAGATTTTAGGGTTACCTCTTCAGAGGGGGGAATGTTGGAGGGGAGGGAGTGAGCATGGATTTGATCAAAACACCTTATATGCATGCATTAAATTCTCAATAAAGTTTTTGTAAAAGTTTAAAAAGAGGATCTGTCTCCTGCAGACCCTCTAGTCCCCCCCCACCATTGTGTGGCAGTATTCCTGGGGAGATGAGTGATATCTCCCAGATAGGGACTGGGACCAAAGTAGCAATGCCACTGTGCCACTGAAGTCCAGCTTGATGAAGCAATTGTTGTAAGCTTAGAGAATGGGACCCCAAAGACTAAAACAGGGAGCAGTTTATTGTACCAGTGAATGACTCAGACATTTCCCTAAAGTAGGGCCCTGAACAAAGAAAAATTCAGCCTTTTCCTTGCTTGCTTTCATAGATAACATTCATTTTTACTGGCATTAAATTTTTTTTGAAAAAAATTTTTTATATGTATCTTGTGTATGTGAGAATATGTTTGTGTGTGAGCTTGGGTGCGTGTGGAGGTCAGAGGACAACTTGTGGGAAGTCAGTTCTCTCCTTCCACCTTGTGGGTTCTGGAGATTGAACTCAGGTTGTCTGGCTTGGCAGCAAGTACCTTTACCCACGGAGCCATCTCACCAACTAAACCTATTTGGTTTAAAACAAAGCATTAAGGACAGTGCTAGCAACTAACATTTGAGTGCTGTGCCAAGCCTTGTGATGAAATCCTCTACAGTCTTCATGCAACCCTTGAGGTCAGTCTTTGAATCTAGTTTCCTCAATGGAAGCAGGTGGTTCAGTAACCTCCCCAGGACAGAATCCACAGTCTGACCCAGGAGCCCCACTCTTACCGTGTTTCAGCAACAACCAAGGAGCAAGCTGTACTCTGCTTGGGTGTTTAAAGGGTCTGTCATTGCCTAGAGCTGCTCCACATTTGCACGGAAGTGGCTGTGAAGCCCCTTTTGTGGAAGGCAGTCTTGATGGTCTTGTGACAGCCTAGCCAGGGTGCTGGGGGAAGGATGAGGTAATCTGTTACTCTGTGGGCACTGTTGCCTACATCGGAAGATGCATGGGGGAAGCTGATGCCTTGTTGCAGAACGTTGAAGCGGGGTCTGTGTGTCTGTGCAGGTGCTCCCTTTCTGAATCTGAACCCAAGCGACACAAAATGCCTTTTAACGGCGAGAAGCAGTGTGCGAGCGAGGACCAGCAGAGCGATTCCGAGTCTTCGAGGTTCTCCGAAAGCATGGCTTCGCTCAGTGACTATGAGTGCTCCAGGCAGAGCTTCACCAGCGACTCCTCCAGCAAATCCAGCTCTCCTGCCTGTGAGCAACTGGGGAGCAGGGTGAGGGCAGAGAGGCTCTGGCACCAGTGTGGGATGGACTTGATAGCTCAGAAATACTGAGCACGGAGCACTGCCTCGCTGTCCTGGCTAGTGCACCAGGCAGTGCTACAGACCGCCGAGCAGGCTGGTGCTCTCAATAAGAGGCTGCAGCAGTTTTTAACTTGCTGGTTTTCATTTTGATCTGTGTCTTTAATTTGTTTCTTTTGACCATGTATCCTACCCCAGCCCTGTCTGTCTTGTCTCCAAATGGTGGAAAGACATTTCTCCTGTGATCACCTTGTACAAATTAGAATGAAGTCAAATGTGTCTTTTTTTTTAATTTTTAATTTTTATTTTTCTGATTCACGTGGAAGGAAACTTGCCCTTACAGAAAGGCAGGCAGGAAGTGAAATAATCTGAAGGGTTTCCTGCTGATTTCAAATGCTGTTGCAACCCCCCACCCCTCAATCCAACCCACCAGGAGAATTACTACATTGTGGGTTGTGTGAGAATTGGGGAGGGGCACTTTTTTCTTTTCATCTGTGGACACTGGAAATGCGTTAAGCAGGTGGTTTTGCTACTCCCTTGTTCTAATTTGTTTTCAGTTGCTGTGACAAAACTCTCTGACCAAAACCAACTTGGGGAGGAAAGGATTTATTTGACTTACAAGCACAGTCCATCATCAAGGAAAGCCAAGGCAGGAGCTCAGGGCAGGAACCTGGAGCAGACGGTGCAGGAACACTGCTTACTGACTTGCTTCCCTGGCCCCTGCTCAGCCTGCTTTCTTATATAGTACAAGCCCACCTGCCCAGGGGTACCACCACCCACAGTGGGCTGGGCCCTCTCACATCACTCAACAGTCAAGAAGATGCCCCACAGACATGGTCACGGGTCAGTCCAATGGAGGCAATTCCCTAATTGAGGCTCCCTCAACCCAGGTTGTCAGGTTGACAACTAAAGCTATCCAGCACACATCCCTCCTACCTTCCAGAAGATTGCACTCACAGTAACCCACAATGGCAGTTCTCCTCAGCCCTCCCTTATTCAAGGATTAGCGGTATAAACCAACACACATGACTTTGCCCTTTTTAAAATTTAAGTTTTAAATAAACATTTTGTCTAGGAAGTATATAATACCTTAAACTAGCAAAGCTAAGGTAGGAAAAGCAACTGATGTTTTTTCATCTGGGGACACTGGGGATGTGTCAAGCAGATGGTTTTGCTACACCCTTGTTCTCATTTGTTTTCAATTGCTGTTTAATGAGATCACATGCCCACTTCAAAAGAAAGATTTTGGGCTGGGCATGGTGGCCTTTATTCCAAGCACACCGGAGGCAGAGGCAGGCAGATCTCTGTGAGTTCAAGGCCAGCCTGGTCTACATAGTGAGTTCTAGACCAGCTGGGGCTACAGGGAAACCCTGTCTTAAAAAGACTGAAAAAAAAAACCCCACCATTTTTTGGTTATATGTATTTATTTAAGATTCTTATGTTCTTTAAAACTTGGAAAATCCATAGGATAGAGAAAAGAAGCTATTTCTTATAGTGTCATCCAGATGTGAAGCTGGCCTCACTTAGCCAGATCTTTGTCCTTCACATTGACACGTATGGACTCTTTCCCTTGGCACCATAACTAAAACATATACTCTTGAAAGCATGACTTCTAAATACCATTCTCATGGCTGTACCACTTCATGAAGAGGACAGACCATCAGTGTACTTACCTGTTGGTTTGTCAGTGGACAGTTGGTTTCCATTTTGGTTTTGTTCTTAATAAATGGTGTTCTGTGAACGTCTTGGTGCATAAAGCCCTTCTGGAATTTCCTCTGGATATCATCAGATTATTGGACCAAATTGTGTAGACATTCTGAAGGAGAATCTTGAGGTAGAGTTGGCAAAAGCATTAAAGCAGCCACCCCATTCCACATCTTGCCTCCCTTTTAGCAGTGTATGGAGCCTGTGCATCTGGCATCAGGGTACCTAGGCATCCTGAAGAAGGGTCTGCCAATTCTCTACATCACCTTTCTCGTCCTCCTCCTCACTGCTCAACACTTTCTCTTCCTCTCCTCCTTAAAAAAAAAATAGGAAAGTATTACTTGTCAGCACCTTTGTTTGAGGTGATTTTAATTAACTGAAACAGATTTTCAGTTTTGTAAACCTGATTTATTAGAACAGTTTATTAGTATAGTATCTAGAAATAACTAAAATTCTTTATTACATTCCTACTGATATTATCCAGCTTTTCAAATATACTTTTACTTTATTTATTGAGTTCTTCTATGCTCTTTACTTCAAATGACTAATTAATCACCTCAGAGGAAGTCTGTGAGGAGATAAGTACCAGTGAATTCAGGTGATAGCTACCAACTGGCAGAACTTGGAATTGTACCTCACTGCTTAACACATTTAGGAATTACAGGAATTATAGCTTAAAAAAATCTTTTCAAATATACTTTTACTTTATTTATTGAGTTCTTCTATGCTCTTTACTTCAAATGACTAATTAATCACCTCAGAGGAAGTCTGTGAGGAGATAAGTACCAGTGAATTCAGGTGATAGCTACCAACTGGCAGAACTTGGAATTGTACCTCACTGCTTAACACATTTAGGAATTACAGGAATTATAGCTTAAAAAAATCTTTAATAAAGGGGTCCTGTCCAAGGATCATTATTTAGCAGACTCTTGATCTCTACACTTTGGCCATTTGTGACCTTTTGTTTCCTGGCCCTCCGCTGCATGAGGAGCTTCATTACTGAGAACTGATTCCTTAGTGTCCCCTTCTTTATCCCTGTTCTGTGTTCCATGAGCCTTAGGTGTAGAGGTTGCATTGCAGATGTGTCCCTTAGGCCTGGGCAACTCATAGACAATGTCTGTGTGAGACCAGTTGTGGTACTTGGTATTAGTCTCTGCTGCAAAATGAGCTTCTTTGATGAATGGTGACTGGGATATTTGTCTGTAAATATAAGGATACGTATTTGCACATAGTAAGAAATCATATTAGTCTAGTGCTGTGAGTTTTGGGGTTTTCTTTAAGATCTGTGACCACTCTAGCCATGTGTATTAGGTTATGTTACAGTACCACACTTGCGTTTCCTCCCTTTGAGTGGGCTTTTAGTCAAATTAGGTAGCTGTTGCTTGCCCCCAAGATAAAAGTGATACTACTGCACCAGCAGTGACGTATGCTGTGCTGGCCTTTGATGTGGTTATTTGGTCTTGAAGCTGGTGCTAGATCATCTGTTGATGTTTTCCCTGGGCACTTTCATAGCGTTCTCCAAAGCTATGAGAGCTCGCCTTTAGGGAAGTGGCTTCCAGGTCAGTTGTAGCTCTATTTCTCCAAATCCTGTGTCTGACATGTGTTGTTGTCTTCGGCAGTAGGGTCTTATCTGACATGTGTTGTTGTCTTCGGCAGTAGGGTCTTACCTTCAGGTTCTGGGAGGCTATCAAGTGGTGTGGCAATAGCCTGAGTAATTTTGGGAGTCTCTTGGACCACCCTGGCCAACAACTCGAAGGTATCTCCTGTCTGGCACTGTTTCTTGTTATGTAGCCTTCAGCTATACACATGAACTCATGTAGAGATAATGTATGCATAATTTGTCAGTAGGTTGTTGGACTAATATAATTCCCTCTGTTTTTTTTAAAACTAGCTAGGCATTATTATCTTTCTCACTGGCTAACATGGTTTCCCCATTTAAAGTGCCCTCATTTCCCCCATTTCTCCCTTGATAATACCTCATCCACCCAAGGCTCAGGGACCATCTCAGAAGAGGGAGCAGAGAGATTGTAAGAGCCTAGGAGGATGGGAATGACCATATGGAAACAGAGTCCTACAGGCTCCTGGGAACCTGTTCGTATGATTCTATGGCAATGGTGTCAGCATACACAAGTCCCATGCAAACTCAGGCAGACAATAACCCAGCATAGAACTGGGAAAATGAACAGCAGACCCCAATCTTATCTAAAGGAATGTTGGCAACTGATTGCTGCTAGGTGAAGAAGAGCTGATCTTCCTAAAACAAGAGACTCTAGATAGGCTGACTAGACTCAGTAGATGGACTTGCACTAGGGAGTGGCTGGGGGCACTGATAACACAGTGGGCAGAAACAGGGATGACAGAGTATATGGGCTCCAGTCGGGGGAGGGAGGCTATGGGAGGGTGCCATTTGGGATGGCAGTATAAAGATGATTAAGATTATTTGGGATGCTCTGTATGAAATACACAAAAAATCTATAAAAAATAATAACCTTACCAATCCTCTCTATAATACATACGTGTACCCATAAGCATCGAGTGATTTGTTTTAAAATTAAGTTATAATGGCCCTATCTTAATGAGTTTGTCTTAGGAACATTTGTAAATTCATTAACAAATATGGTAACAAGCTACAATTTTTTAAGTCTGTATTAAGTGAGCCCACCTATTTTAGTGTACATTCTCTTTACATGTAAACCCCTGGAATTTATATTAGATTAAGTCAAACTTTATATACTGGGAGATTCCATTGGATGTCAATTTCTGTTCTACAGCATTGGCTGACCTTTGTTTGTTTTTTCAGCAACAAGTCCTCCTAGGGCGGTAACGTTTGATGAAGTGATGGTCAGGAATCTATCAAACTTAACCCTTGCTCATGAAATAGCTGTAAATGAGAATTTCCAGTTGAAGCAAGATGCCCTTCCAGAGAACAGGTACCCTGAAATGTTCATTGTTTGTAAATGGTGCTGGAGATTACCCCTCACCTCCGCACAC